TGCAACTTGCTATATCTACCTAAGCGTGAAGTAATGAAATATAGAATTGATATTTTTTTAGTATTTATATTAACTTTGATATCTGTGCTTATTTTATTACATCATATAGATATATGTTTTAGTAATATATTTCAATTTAACAATTATAGTCAGGGAGCGTCTAAGCTATGCACTTCTCTCTATCCTATTCTGTTTTTGTTATAATCATAAAATTACTATAGAGCATCTGAGCATAGAGCATTTACTCTAGAATCATGTACAAAATCAACTGAAATGATTGAATTATGAGTTTAACATTACAAACGTTCATACGCAACATTTACTTAACATTTGATTTTTGTTTGGGCAAGTTAGGAGTAGGTACCTAACAAGATTATTCTAGTTCATTTAAGTCTTTTGTAGCACTCGATGTTCCCCGAGTACCTTTGATCTTTATCGTTTCGTAGTACAGCCAACATCAACATTTGGTTACCTCCCAAATATTTAAGGACAGCGCAACGTGTCAAATTGCTAGGTATCTTGGAATTGAATTTGATCTACAAATACTCAATCTATTTTACTCAAGTTCGCCCCTTCTTTCAATATCCAAAACTGATTTTATTACGTTTTCATTCATTCATTACGTTTGCAGATATTGCTATCTTCTTGTTTATTTTAAGATTTGCTAAATTAGCAAATTTATATTTAGTGCAGAAATCAAAAGAGTTCATTCACACATTTCATTACATACAGTAAACAACTAAATACATAAATAAATATCTATTAATTATAATTTTGATAAACTGACGGATCTAAACCTTATGTAATAATAAGTTGGAACTGGAATTTTCTATTATCTGAAATCCTACCAACTTAACTACATTATAAAAAAAACTTGATACGGTATCATAATGTAGTAACTAATAAACATCAGTCGAGTTTTATTTTAATAATTAATGTTACTTATGTCTTGTTAATTAATAAAAGCTGAAGTAGTATTTACACACATACGCAATGCGGATTCTATTAAAAGTCTATCTCAGCATAACTATGACTCTGAAACGTACCGTTTTAATTACATGCCCTTACATCTCGCCTCGCAAGTCGTAAGGTAGTTACAATTAGAAACCATTCGCTATAGGAATTCTAAGAAGTGGACGAATCCAGCGGGTTTCACGTTTACCGCCAGGGTTTTTACTGCTGTCCGTCGCCCACGCCCGCCGCTCAGACACATAACTCAGTTTTTACGATCTATCCCTTTAGGAGTATAGAAATTTGTGAAATGTTTAAACAGGAACCTCCGATTGATCGATTACGAAGTTCAATACGAAGATCAAATCCATACAAACAAAGATGGCTACCAATATCTACACGTATTGTTGTATAAAAGTGTATTTGCTTCGGCCATCTAGGTGTTTGAACTTTACCAGGTCAACGTTTAAATTGAGGTCGAAAGCGGTCACTACAGACCTTGTCGTGTGTACACACTACGCCACCCCATCTAATGACTCCTGTACGACACTACTACCATTAGGTACAGACGTGAGTAGCTGCGAGTACAATGGCTACGGGCAATCATTGTAATTATATTGTGGTGGAACGTGACTGAAGTTGTCAGAGCATAGTATACGATCGATGCACCGTTGTGCCGCTAACACTGAAAATACGATCCGCTTTACTCGAATGCATTGAAAATTCTGTATACATACGTCTAAGCAATTTACATAATGCATTAAGTGGAAGTACTTAGTTGAATTAAAGCCAATTACTCGACGAACCTATTATTAAACCACATTATGTTTACTGCTTAAGGGCATTTTATCGGTTAGGTAATTTTAGTAAATCTAATCGAATTAAATAAAATAGCAGCACGTCGTTGGTGTTTATAGTCTATGAAAAGGTGTCCGGTTCGGTGTAAAGCCAGTGACCGACTCGACTCACCAATTGGGCAAGCCGACAATACACTTGACCCCGCAAACTCTTAAATTATCTTTTGTTACCTATCGTCTGCCGCCATGTGGCATCGTCTACCGTGTCTTGTTGCTAAGAGACCGAAACTAGAGATGTTTACAATGTTAAAAAACTTATACCTGTCCAGATGCTTCTGCTGTTTTCCTTCCATAAACGGATGATTAGGAGCTTTCTAAGCGTAACTAGGACGGTGGACCTTATTAGTACACAGTTAAGTAGGCAATTTAGATAATTAGACTTAAAAGTATCTCTATTTACCTAAATAACTGTTTAAGATTGGAATTGGGAGGATGTACGAGAACACATTTATGGATTTTCAATTGGAAAACATAATTGTACCTACTAATTACGACCAATAACACCGCAAATGCTTAGCTACTTTCGAATGCTTGGCGTTTGCTAGATATTGCACCTCGAGATTATGGCTACTATAATTAAAATATTATATTGACTTTTGACCATTCATCGCACCGTAATTTTCGATCGTTTTCAGTTTAAAATGAAATCGGTCAAAGACCTATTCCTCGCCTTTTGAATGAATGAATATAATGAAGAGATCCATTCATATAATTTGACCTAGTTCGATTAATAAAACTTTATCTACATACATGAGTACTAAACTGATGCAAATAAACGTTTAAATATTGTATTGTTTAACCGCACGTATTAATAATTCGGGTAGTGCGGTTTATTTTTTATTTTTTAAGTAGATAGGTACTCTTATTACTTTTAAAGCACCAAAAAATGGACAAGGACAGATAGACCATGATAGGTCTAAAAAAATACCGGAAAATTGGAAGTTATTTATAAAAAAAATCTACTTTGTACCAATGCACTATAACCACAATATGCAACAACGACGATGTAAACAAAGTAACATATGTACTGAGAAGATCGCTTAACGAAAATAATAAGATTTATCACAACATCCCGTATTTAGTTATACACCTTTAGTTACTTTAGATTTGTCTAGAGTACCTACATGTTTAAGTTAATGAGTTTCATAATTAATTACTAGCTCTACCTATAGCATAAACATAATTTTGCTTGGTTAACTAATCCGATCTCTTTTATATATTATGTACATACACATATATACATACATGACCTTACCTAGTTCACAACCTTTGTATCTCAAACTCAACGATAAACCAACGCCAAGCGCAATCTCTAACGCTCGATAAATTAATTCAGATAAATGAATCCTCAGTTGTGAGATTTCCACCCTACCGGGCACTAACAAGTGACTCAATATTAACTGGCTAAAGTCGCGTCAGCAAAAATGGCAGCAGTTATAGAACAACATAAAGCAGGAGCAAGGCTACAGATACAATCAGAGATTCATGTAATTATTCAATCGAGTGCGCGAGCACGAGGCTCGTCGTGCGGTCCGCGGCGACGCGCGACGGGCTGCGCTCGCGGTTGATCGCGGCGCGGCGGCGCGGGCGCACGGTGCACGCGCCCTACGAGTGACCGGCGACAGCCGCCGAGTATTGTGTTCTAAACAACTATCATGTCGTTACATTGTCTGATCCTTAATCACAAGTTGAAAGAAGTTTAAGTGCAGCTGCGGAGACAACAACAGTACCTTTACATATCCAGAACCTATGTAAATTTGCAACAAGCCTATTAGTAAGAAGAATGAATCTCTAATAATAATATCACTTATTATAATGTTACATTAAACTAATTGATACTAACACCATTATGAGTAGATTCAATGGATTTAGATTTCGCTTTTATATGAATATCAGACAGCTTGCAGTTGTTGATGCATTTTTTATTTACATCAAGCGCTCTACTTTGGTTTCGCCACAAACAGATATAGAGAGCAATTGAGTGCAGATGGACGTTGCCGAGTAAGCATCTCACGTGTGTGAGTAGTTGTTACATGCACACGTATGTAGATTTGGTTAAGTGGTTGCACTGCGTCTACTAATACCACTGGGTAGGTGGCACACCGTGCTTAACTCTCACGTTGCCAGTACGCTAGTGCCAGCCTTTAAGCCGCTATAAATAGAACTTGTCCTCGATGCGTTATATGTACAAACATTCATTATACTACGATGAGGACAAAGCGGCGTAATGTGGCACCCACCCTGGATTACTCTCGGAACGGCAATTTATAAGAGGAAGTCGCTGATTTGCATTTTTATGAACGGGGAAGGTGAAGTGAAATCATCATCATTACTCGGTTTTATTCCAATGCTGTATGCATAAGCAAAACATTTTATATCAGCTTTAAAGACCTACACTACACCAATACATATAGGTACTCGTACTGTCCAGCGATTTATAACATGACTGTATTGCCGAAATGTTTGATCGAAGTCATTGTGATTTTACATAAGCAAACGTAATTATTCAGCCCCGTGAGCCTTTGAGCAAACAAACATTTTGTTGAAACACGAGGTCGTGGCCAATTTAATACATTTCAATATCATACCAATCATACAGTGACTTTGGGATTATCAGTTACCAAATTTAAATCACTTACATAATAAGTGCTAACACGAATATTGAAAATTCACATGATGCTTACATAAACCGATTTAATTGTATACATATGTATGTAGGTACACAGGTTTACAAGTCCAGAAAGAAAAAAGATAATAATGATAACTTAAATACATCATTAGTAAACATCGTGAAATTAATTAATTGTACATACCTATAATTATATAGATATTTAAATAACTATTTGAACTTTAGCACGCGTCTACACAAACATGGCTCTTATTAATTTCACGTAACATTTGCTTTTAGTTTATCGTACCTACTTTCAATCAATTTATTATTTCCTAATGTGGATTGATAAATGTGCATTTCACGCGGAGTCAGTGAGTAGCAGTAATGCACTTAGGAAATGAAAAGTAGTGAGGGATACGTATCTGGTATCAAATGGGCGGTACTGGTGTCAAGTTGCATGTCTACCCCACGATATATAAAAGGAGAAAGCCTGCTCGAATTACACATTCACTCTCCGATGTCAGGTTAGACTTCAGGATAGTATCTCAAAGTTATTTTTATTTCTTTCCAGATTAGTAAATATGTTATTAAACAAAGCACTTCAGTTGGCGATGTTGGCTGCGGCAGTATTGCTGAAGAGCAGAACGGAGGCAGCCACCTCGCCCGTGGTGAAGTTCTGCGGCCGACAACTCAGCGAGATCATGAGCAGAGTCTGCCACGCTTATAACAGTCCTTGGGACACACCTACAGGTACCTACTCTAGAATACTTTATTCTCACTCCAACTTCAACTACAATCTACACCTGTAAACAGCTGTATCACATATGAATAGCCGTCTCATTGGTTACCTAATCATTGGGTTTTAATCATTTGCTTTTTTTCTTTAGGTAAGTACAAAAAATTCAGATAAAAAACTAAATAAATCTTAAATCGCTAATGCAGATTCAAATAAGCCAAACCCACTCATACTCCACACAAACAACACGCTCTGAAAACGTAAACTGCGAATATAAATATTATTTCTATCTTATCACAAAATGAATGCCATTGAGTGACTACGCCTGGCGCCTGTATATCAGAAAAAAAATGTCAAAACAAGCAAATTCAGTACCCAATACTCGCACTACTATTGTACTTAAACATTAATATTATAATAAGTTGTTAAACTCGTAAAACAATAATAATGACCTTATATGTACACAGCCTAAGTACGATATCCGGAAAGCAACAGATTTTATCGCAATTGCTTACAACTTACGACTTATTCAATAACAAATTATAAAAGGTCACTTATAATTAAATCTTTAATATTAAAAATATTACATACTCTGTAATGAGTATAAACTTTGCGTAATTTTAAGTATTATTCAATTTATTATATGTATTTTATTTTTAAATGTTTTTCATCACCTTTCCATTTCATTTCACTCACAGCCAAGGTTAATTAATTAATTTAATTACCTTTATCAGAGCTAAGCTTACGAAAGTTCAAAATATTTTCTCACGGGTAATCTATAGGTAACCATTAAAGTTCTCTCTTACAAGTGAAAGGCAAAATCAAATATTTTTAAATTTGCAGTTGTGGAACAACCTGGTTCTGTGGTGAGAAGAAGACGGCAAGTGGAGAATGGCATAGCTGACGAATGCTGTAACAATGGTTGCACGTGGGGACAGCTCAGTGAATATTGCTCCATTAGTAGTACCAAGTAAGTTGATTTTTCATCAACCAAGTAAGATGATATGGACAGCGAACGTGCAGTCAAATCTCCTGTTGGTGAGTAATCAACACAGCCCATGGACAGTGTGTTGCCCAGATTAGGGAACTATTGGGCCTTCAGCAACTTCAATCGCACGGCAAAACACAACGCAAATGTTGTTTCACTTCTTGTCTTCTGTGACACGGATGGAGTTAGCTCATTGATTTCGCACGCGAAAAAATCTGTATTTTTTATTACCTATGTTTTTTTTTACTTTATTCTTGATTTGAACGGCAGCAGCGAACGAGCACGCGGATTACTTAATGGTAAGCAATCGGCACACAATTCGCATGCATCATGGACATCCGCAACACTAGAGAAGCTGCAAGTGTTTTACCAGCGTTTTGGGCGTATAAGGTCTTCTGGAGAATTAGGGATTGGGGCCGATTTGGCGAGGGGAAGGGTTGGGCATCCGGTAAACTCACTCAGTGATTGAGGTTACCGGAGGCCCGGAGTAAGTGACACTCACACCACGAAACACAACACTATGGTTGTTTCTTCAACACGTCGAATGGGTTAAATCGGTCGAGCATGGTTCTCTCACACTTAACACCGGTGTTTTAAGTTTGACGCTTTTATGTGCGCATTCTGAAAGACCGATTACGAAGCGGTTTTTTTTAACTTTGTTCGTTATCATTATGCAAAACTACAAAAAGATAAATATTTACTTACGATTGTGTAATCAATAGTTCGGAGTCCCCACTGGAAGACATGGAGGCTCACATCATAGCAGACAGATCAGCGGAGCAGGGGGTGCAAGAGACGAGAGACGTGGCGAGTGTGGCTACAGCACCAGCGGCGGTAGGCAGCGCTGGGTTTGCGGGGCGCGCGGCAGGGCCGCGGGGCGGGGCGCGGGGCCGCACGCGGAGCCGCGGGTACGGGCGCGCACGAGCTCGGGGCCGCCGTTGTTGGTGCCGGCGCAAGCGGCGCTCGGGCCGACGGCGATCCTCTCTCATGGGTAACATGGTGTGTCTGTCCTTCGCTGCTCACTTATTCTCTTAATTACAATGCAAATACCAACAAATAATTATAAACAGTAAGAGGTACATATTTAGTACCTATCTACACTTTGAAATATTTGCCTTAATATACCTATCGCCACAACTTAGGTATATTACTCAAGCATAATAAAAAACAATACCTACCTAATTACAAAAATTAACAGTCAAGAAAGCTTGTGTTATATGTTATACCTAATGCTGTAAATATTCATATCCAAAGCTTTGAAAAGAGCTATAAATAAACTGTAAAAATATTTATGACAAAAAGAGAATACGAAAGCAGTGAGTAACTAACCCTCATATTAATGCTTCCAGCATGTTCACTAATCGATCAGTAACTAACTGCAAAATTTTAATAGATTTAATTTCATCATCATCTTGGCGGTTATAATGGAATGATCTCGCTTGTTACTCTATCATTAACTAAGAATGCTACTTGGGTATGCTATGATTATAAATCATTGCTGCATAATTAATCGTTAACAAGGTATTGCCCATGTTTAAATGTATTGCATGTTATTAAGATCTATAAGTACCTACGACTCGGCAACAAGATTAGTGCGAAACACTTTCATAGTGCTTAGATCACGCTATTTCTGTCATCGTTTCCCAATTAATAATTTTAATCGTAAATTAATGTTTGGTGAAGTGTCGCCAAGTCGTGCCTGTAGATCATTAAGGCTTTGAAATGGGAATAGGTTTAACCACATTTATGGTGACCATGGGAAATGTGGGTTAGATACATTCATGGGTTTTGTATCTATCATTTTTGTAGTATAAATCTCGTAAGACATAACTATTCAATTATGTTTCATGACTTCCTCACGTCACTGTTTAACGACATAACTTGAATAATTTTAAGCCACTCCCGGGGCCCATAGCCATAAAGAGCATTGCGCAACCAACGAAGCTGATTATGAGCCCCCTCATTATAGAAATTCTAACTAATTTCCACATTTTTAACGCCTTCCTATAAAGTCCGAACTTTAGATACCTTTTAGTACACCGGCTAAACGACTTTAATGTAGTATATTTTAATTCAATATCAATTGATTTTTAATGATTCCTAGACAAACTTGAATTTTAAACTCAGATGACTGCTATACACATGCAAATTTTGGTGCGGAATAACTATCTGCCTCTAAGACAAATATTTGCTTCAATCAGTCCACAACATTTTATAACGACCGACACCACCCAATCATGAAGTCAAGTAAAAATTTTATGTGCTCATAGTAAACGTTAGCGCTAACAAAACTAAACTAGATTTTCTATTGTTACAGGACCTCGTAAAAAATGTAGTGCGCGCTGCTCCCGTGGTGGGCACCGTATCGCCTCTAATCACGTGGGGCCGGACACTCAACACTGACCTCTCGCCGGGCAGCCGAGACCAATACGCGTACGTCGTCTACGCCCAATAAAACCCCATGGTTATTACCAACCGTTGACGACGACATCAAACAACTCTTTCACAACTCCCAACTAGTGAAGACAGAGTTCACATCCCTCGTAATGAATAAGAGGACGTGGTAAGGTACAATGTTTTAGTGTTCATTATTATGTAACGTTCATAATTTAAGTATTCTTTCCTACGCAGTGTCAATTAGATTAGGAACGACATTATTATGTCGACAATCAAGTGTTCCACTTTAAGTACCTATACTTTTTAATGTATTCCAAGCAATAGATCACAAAGTATACTGTACTTCAATAGGTTCTTACAAGTCTACTTAATCGATTTGCTAATGTTTATTACAAGAATTTTGTATTATATAAATATTGCCATATCCAGTAGTTTAGTAATTGTGACGCTTAATCTTCACAAACCTATTTTCTTATGCCAGCAATGTTATTACAATACGCCAATTTTCCGTTCTCTTTGTCCGAGTATCTCCATAGTTAATAAGTGATGTTATTATTATAGTACCTATACATTAGCTCTCTAGATTTATTCTGATATTCGCAAACGCGCATGAGCGTTCAAATAGAAAGGAAAATTGACTATTTTTAAATTATTTTTTGCAATAAAATTGACATTTGCCATAATAGCCATCCATTTAATAATTTATTATTGTCTTAGATGTGTACTATATGCTACCAATAAAACTCCTACCATTTAAGAATTAACGATCTCTAAAACATCTGTGATAACTCCAACTGATAAAAATAAATCATTAATTTATGAATTTTAGTTATGTCAGCATACTAGTTGAATGTATCTTCTTGTGTTAGACAGTGTATGTATTTAGAGTTTAAGTAGTTCTATGTTCAGAGTGGACACTTGTATATTAGCAGGTAACTCTGTCTGAGGCTAATGTGTTATTACACAGTGGAAAACAAACAAGCATCAGCTCTCAGACAGGCTTGCCATATGCTTGAACATGCTGCTACTGTGACTGAACTGACTGACTAGGTGGATGCTGTATTAAAATTGTCATTTATTTACATAAAGTGTTTCATTTCAACAAATCAAAGCACAATTATTAACTATACAACATCATGTCACATAAACTAGGTATTTCATTAAAACTAAAAAGAAGAAAATATATACAAAAGTGATCAAATCACTAAGTATAGACATGGTTTATTTACAATATTTAATGGAAGATCTATTTGAAACTATCAGTCAATTTGATTTAGTTTCCTAGACAAGTTAAATTGACTTTGAATCAAAATAATTATCTATACATGATCTGTACTGTTAATAATTACAAATTGCACAAAAATCACTTAACAAAAAATGAAATACAAACATCAAATGCTATTAGTTCCATTGTTATCTAAATCTGGTTTCTTTGAGTTTTTTTGGGATTCCGACTCAGTATTTTGAAAATAATATTTTTTTAACAACCAATATTTTGCAATGACTATGATCAGGAATAGAGCTCCTAGTCATAGTGGCCCCTTGTTGTTGTCATTTTCATTAGAGTCTGTGTTGCCAGTACCTTCAGTGTTACTACTTCTAACAGGTAATAATTGAAACCTTAAACTATTACCCTTGACCCTCTTCTGCACTATTTTGCTCATATTTCTCACTTGGTTCTCAATGGTTTGGTATATTTTTTCCTGAAAACACAAATATGTGGATAAATATTTGTAAGAGTATACTTAATACATTAATAAAAATTGTATCTGTTTCTCAACTTAAGTGAAAGTAGAATTGTTAACTGATAGAATTGTAAATTATTAAATTTAATACATCAATACCCAAGCTAATGCTGGCCATTGAAAGGTTAAATCAAGTTAGTTCCAGATTTATTGAAAATTATAATTTTATTTAGGACTCACATTAAGTAACTGAGAACAGCTTTACTAGATACAGATACCTCTGTCAAAAGCAGATTGCAATGTTTTAAAAGAATCATCCGAAATTGAATAGGTCCTTGGGACACAGAATAATATCATAACATTTTTGTTGTCTCAGTAAGATTAAGATAGGTGCAACTCAAATATAAACATTTAAATTAATTCAGCTGAGGACAACCCGCATTAAAGAACTTACAGATTTAATGGCTGCCTCAGCATCTTCCCCGGCAATCACCACTTTGACTTCATACTGTTTCTCTACTAGTTTCAGCATCTTCTTGATACCAGTCATCAAGTCATGTTTTCCTATTCTTGAAGACAATGTTAACAGTTTTTCCCCCTTTACTAACGCATTCTGGCGGGCCACCTGCTTCTCTTTCCTTTTAGAAAGCTCTTCTGCATGATATTCCGAGTTTGTCATAAGTCTGAAAGAAATAACGTTTATAAACATTCGAGAATTAGTATGAAATTTAGACAATATACTTAGGTCAATGGGTATATTTAGGATAGAATTACAATAGAGAACTACTTACTTGTAAACTGGTCTTCTCGTTTTCGAATCAACATCTTGAATTTTAACCAGCTTCAAATCCCGTCTGAGGGATATATTCTGAGCATTTTTCAAGTCTGTAATACTCAGAGAATTATCGGGACTAATAAGCGTTATTCTATTCTCGTAAGTTTTCTTTTTAATCACATCTTTTCCTTCAGCATTGATTATTGTTTTGGTTTTCATTGTTCGAAAATCTAAAATTCTTCGAACACCCAGTGTAGTCACCAGTTTATTTAAACTAAAGTAATTCATTATGAGACAATTTGTGTCTAAGATAATTAAGTTAGAAGAATTTTAATTGTTTACTAATATCTCGTATTCTTCGAAGATTCCATATAGATAATCATAAAAAAGACACCAAAACCAAATAGATTAATCGTAATCGTAAAGTTAACTTGACATTGATTGTTGACATTCGTTGATTCGACGCAATGACAGAATTGACAATTATTTTTTGCTCGATTGCCTACAAAGAATAACACAGACACCAATTAATATGCTACCCTTAAAATAAAGGGTAGCATATTTAAATCGGTTGCAAGTCTGCCCAATACCGCGGACCCGGCCCAAAAGAGTTTGGGCTTGTTCTGTTCGGGCGGCGAGCTACCCTTACTCGCTATGCGCAGACCCGCGATTACGATGGTCGGAGTTTGTTCTGTATTCTGAGGGTCGGAGATCGCCTCTCGATCCCCGACGCCCAGACTGTAGTGACATTTATTTTTCCCTGACAAAAAAAAAGTGTTTGCTGTGTGAAGTTGTTTTCTTAATTCTATTTTTATTGAAATTCATTTTACGCTTTCAAGTACCATATGAATGGAAATTAATATAAATATATGTATCTGGTGTTCCAAATTATTTGTTAAAATTATATTTTTCCACAATATCCGAAAGACTAATGAATAATAAGTGGAGAAGAAAAGATTGAGGTACAGGGTCGTATTATCCAACAAACAAATACCCAGAGTACCAAGTTGCAAAGGTATTTGCGCGTGCGTGTGTGTTAATGTACCTAGATCACATAAAAAATAGGAGCGCCTATGAAATGCTTGCCAAGGGCGCTCTAGTGGATAATTTGTTTTAGAGTTAAATATTTTGTAATATACATATATTTATAGTATTTTTAAGTTTTATATTGTTTGTATAGTTGGGCCTTCAATTCCTGAAATAAATGGATAAATAAGAAAAAATGGATAATACTGCTTTCTAAAAAGAACATACCACCAAACCTTACAATACGTGAAATTATGATCAGTTTGCTAACATATTGAATTAGCTATTAAATTATTAATGGCAATATAAAATTTTATTTATTGATTGGCTTTGCACAGAAATAGAGATTTCAAATCTTACTGCTTTTATGAAGTTGTCCTTTGAAATATTGTTATACTCAATCTGTGCTGTCAAAAAATATTTATTGTTAAACCTAAAAGACTCATACTCCAAAACAATCCTTACTTGTTTTAAAACCTTAAAATCCATGCTCTTTGGAGTTTGACATAGACTCTGTCACTTTGTTTTGTCAACTGTAATCGGCAAAATGGTGTGTGATAATTTTTATTAAAATCTTTAAATATTTTACAAATCATTAGTCGGAAAGTATTTTTGTACTAATAAATTTAATTCTTTATATTTCAGTCGGCACACAAGACATTTATTATCAAGCGCAAGCTTGCCAAAAAGCTGAAACAAAACAGACCTATCCCACAGTGGGTCAGAATGCGCACAGGGAATACTATTAGGTAAGTTAAGCGTCTACTTTAGTCTTTCTGGTATACATTATCAGCGTGAAACGATACCATAACAATATTATTTAACTTTAAGTTATGGCTTTGCTATTGAGACAAGTGAATCTGTTATGCACCTAGTGTTCCTTTGATACTTCACCTGGTGTCAGTTATAACTCCTAGTGTATATTGTCCTAAACATAGTTTTCTAATCCTCTTGCATTAGTATTAGACTTATCACGCTGCGACTCATAAAAAATCTGTATCATAGATTGAATAATGTCGCATTGTATGATCAAATTTTAGTAATTCATTAACGCATTTGGACGTGTATGCTTACTGAAAGAATTTCCGTTGTACTGACTGAGGTCGTTAAAAGCATAATAAAATTTTAATTTTTTATTAAAGCATTTTGTTCCATCACTATTTATTATGGGACTGATATTTTGGAGGGATTTTTTACAGTACGGCCGAGGTATCTTGGTGAGTCTGAAGTTAGCCGTTTGTTTGCGCAATTAATCTTTTAGGAACAAAATTGTGTACTGCGCAGCTAATCGGCTAACTTCAGACTCGCCAAGATACGTTGACGGTATTGTACCATACTAGGTTTCTATAAAATCCAAATTTATAGAAGATACATCTAATTAATCTTTAATAAAAAAATTGTTTAATTAGTCTTGAAATCTCTAAAATGTGTGTAGTTGTACACTGAAACATGTCTATCATATTATTTTACATGGAAAATATTATAAATCTAGACATATTTTCTTTACTTATATGTATTTGTATTTTTTTTATACAGTATGGTTAAGTGAATAGTAATATGTATGTACAATATTGTTTGAAACAGCTATATTGCTTTGACTGTGACAAAATGGTGTTGACCAGTTTTATAAGTCTGAAATTACAATATTTCTCTGAGATGTTAATTTTTGTAAACAATCTGATTGTTTAGGTCTTGATAAGATATAGATAATGAAGTTAAATATTGAATATTTATCTGTAGGCTACCTTATGCTTTCTTTCGTGTTGCAACATGATGTGAAAACAAGAATGACTTCGAGTCAGCAGTATAGTTCTAATTTCCAAATGTGATGTAAATCATATAAATAATGTAGCATGTTTTATAATATCTTTGCTTATAAAGTGTCTATTTACTACTATTTACTACATAGATAACCCTTACCTCTTTTTAGTATTTTCTTATTGAATTAACATGACTTTCTTTTTTCACAGATACAACGCTAAGAGGCGTCACTGGAGGAGGACTAAGCTCAAGCTGTAAGCTGGAGCTGAAGTAGAACAGTTAAGCTAAATAAATTCCCTTCACCATCTAATTTGTTTGTTTTATTCTTATCAAACCTATATATTTTCGATTTTCTTGAGATACAATTGTATGCCAGATTGGCTTAGGTTACATTATTGTTGGTCTAGCTTAGTCATACCACAGTCGAATACTGATATTTTTAAAATATTTTTGTATTACTTAGAGCTGGGTACACTAGCTGTCAGTGTCACGACAGCAGAAAGATCTTTACAAACTCGCGACACGTTGCACAGTTGCTAGTTGCCCAGCCACTGCACCAAGCATGCAGTGGCAAGTAGGTACAGTAGTTACGTACAGTCATAAAATACCTATTTTTTACATGTATCTATTGTCAAAATAATTTAGTTTCAAATTTTTGGCTTGATCCCGACTACGTGACCCCTCCTGGCGCCAAAGCTAGATCCGCCCTTGGCAAACGGATTACCTGATGGTAAGCAATTTGCGCCGCCCATGGACACCCGCATCATCAATGAAGTTGCAAATATCTTTGCTGTAAACGCTCTGCAAAAAGAAAAGCAACACTTAAAAAAGTCGAATCACGAAGCATAATGTGGGCAATAACATCAGCCATATGCATTCAGGATAGGTACACCAAAATCCACTCAAAGACCTGTTCAACAACGTACTGAATCCAGGTCACCACCAACAAAAGCATCTATGGGGAACGTGTGTCTGCAGAGGCTTCGACATGCCGCCACTCCCAGAGATAATGTCGTAAACGCTTTTCTCGAGTTTGTCGCAGTAGTGAAGGCAACTTGCGGAATTGCGAAGCCATCCTACAAACTTAGGTACCTACTTGCAGGGTAATGAGCTAATACTGAACACGACAACAAGACATCGAGAATATTGAGAGGAACTTCGATAAGTCGTAGTATGGCTGCTTTTAAAGCAACTGCAGGATTTGTATTTCTGGATGAGAGGGAGTCCGATCGATGCGGAGTGTTGAATTTTAAAACTCCCTCCCCCCCCCCCGAGGATTCCCTGGTGGTGGTGGCCATATGTACCAAGATTATGCTAGACGAAAGGATATTGGAGATGCGTGCGTTCGTGCAGCGGAATGTTGTTGAATTTAAAGATTTTAATTATGCAGATATTTAGTGTATGACGTCGTATAATTGTGTATGGTAAAAAAAAAAATTGTGCACGCAACCATTGTGGAGAAATTCACCAAAAACTGATTCCGCTGGGCGAACGTTGTCCAGGCGGAACTTTTTTTAATCCATAGACTTTAGAAGAAAAGAGATTTATCCAAAAATTAGTGTGTATTTGTGTGTAATTGTGTATGTATGAATAAAACTAGTGCATGCATAAACTTCGGAGAAATTCAAGTTTCCGCTACGCGAACGTTTGGCCATTACCTAGTTTTCATATAAAGAGCTTACATAGAGAGCTGTAGATTTTTACATACGTTGTTTTGAATTTGTGTATATTTGTTTAAAAAACAGATTTAGAAAAAATCGTAGGGTTTAAAAGATAAAAATATAAACGTAAAATACGCTTATTAGGTCTTAGTTCTTAAAGTATGCACTTTGGGGTCTAGATTTTCACGTTTATACAAACCTTGTAAGTGTCTGCAACATGTTGCCAAGTATCAAGGATGTTCAGTTAGTAATTAAATAGTTATAGGACAAATTTACCATGAATAGATCACTGTTTACAAAGCAGTCAAATATCACGACTTCCTAAATGAATTGCATGGTAAAATGTATGCCAATAATTAGTGTATTCATTCAACTATTCACATGCAAAATTTCATGTCATTAAATTCAGTAATTAAAGAAAAACAATTATAATACTGACGAAGCATCGAAAACCTGCATAACCCGACCAAGTTCGGATGGCTACAAAAAAGCGGCCGTGCCATATAACTAAGAAACGTTCTTAACTTTCCAATATAGCATTTATTAATATGGTACAGTATCGTACACAAGCGTTAGGAAAAAATAAAACAGAGTATCGTACACACGCTCGTGCATGCCTAGTCTATTGGTCAAATAGTGTAATAAAAAATATTGGTTAAATAGTGTAATAAGCTACAATATGATAAATATTTACCTAAACAATAGTACATACTTACATGTGGTAAATATTTAATTTCCCTAAGGGGTCTATAGTTAGAATCCTGATCCGTGAAATCTTCAATAGAAATTAGCTGTATGAATTTTATTTGTCTTAATTAATATAATTAGAATAAATCTAAAGTCTCAAGCGCATACTTAAATAAAGTACCTACTTTCTGTCATAGTCACATACATTTAAAAAGTAGGTGTCCAAAAATAAATGACCTATGAATTATTTCGAAACAACAAGTGTGTTATCACCTGTACCAATTCAATACCGGTATTATACTGTAAATTTTGGGATGTTACCTAAATATATTGCAAAGCCGCTTTTTTGTAGCCATCCGAACTTGGTCGGGTTATGTAGGTTTTCGATGATTCGTCAGTATTATAATTGTTTTTCTTTAATTACTGAATTTAATGACATGTAATTTTGCATGTGAATAGTTGAATGAATACACTAATTATTGGCATACATTTTACCATGCAATTCATTTAGAAAGTCGTGATATTTGACTGCTTCGTAAACAGTGATCTATTCATGGTAAATTTGTCCTATAACTATTTAATTACTCACGGAACATCCTTGATACTTGGCAACATGTTGCAGACACTTACAAGGTTTGTATAAACGTGAAAATCTAGACCCCAAAGTGCATACTTTAAGAACTAAGACCTAATAAGCGTATTTTACGTTTATATTTTTATCTTTTAAAGCCTACGATTTTTTCTAAATCTGTTTTTTAAGCAAATATACACAAATTCAAAACAACGTATGTAAAAATCTACAGCTCTCTATGTAAGCTCTTTATATGAAAACTAGGTAATGGCCAAACGTTCGCGTAGCGGAAACTTGAATTTCTCCGAAGTTTATGCATGCACTAGTTTTATTCATACATACACAATTACACACAAATACACACTAATTTTTGGATACATCTCTTTTCTTCTAAAGTCTATGGATTAAAAAAAGTTCCGCCAGGACAACGTTCGCCCAGCGGAATCAGTTTTCGGTGAATTTCTCCACAATGGTTGCGTGCACAATTTTTTTTTTACCATACACAATTATACGACGTCATACACTAAATATCTGCATAATTAAAATCTTTAAATTCAACAACATTCCGCTGCACGAACGCACGCATTGGAGATTGCAAAAATCTATTTCAGAATCCGAACCGGACGGCGCAGTCTTTGAAAACAAGCCCACCCAAGTTTCGCTGGACGAATGGTGTCGATGTTGTGTCACCACAACAACTGAAGCAGCCAACGACCTCAGAGAAAAACTATCCTGTCGAATTGGGGATTAGTGAAATCGAGGGTCCGAACGATGGCGTCCATCTTAGTAAACGGCTTGGAGGGACGTGGGAGCTGTTGCCGACTTATGGTGGATGAGTCTCCCATGAACGCGTAAGATTCCTTGAGATAAAAAGATTCTCAGGAGCGATGATCCGAAAATCACTTCCAGATATTTTATATCTGGTACACACACACACAGGTAGAAAAGGAAACCAATAAAACGAATGAGTATGGCGAAAATGATTTTTTATATTTATAAATATTTACAACTTTTAATATCAAATCCAATGCACCATTAAAAATTTATCACAATTTGCTAATACTGAACCGCGCTAAATTGTTCAGAAATCTGCGCCTTCCCACGGAAATATAAAGCTACTATGTCAAGTGGCGTTGTCTTTGGAATCACTCTTTAATTTTTCTTCTTTCTTCTGTGCTGCTGCTGATTGAGAGAGAAGGTCTTCTAGTAGAAGATCATTATCCATCAACTCCGTACTGCCTGTTCTCTGTAAATAATTGTATTTATAGTTGAATTATAAAATAATCTCAAATAAATGAATACTCGCGTATCATATAAAGCAAAACATGAGAATCAGAATATTCATTTGTACTGTGCAATTCTACACTACACAGTTTTGGTTTGCAAAAGTGTTAGGTTCAGAAGGTACAAAAACAATATAATAATGAGTTTTAGAAGTTGCCTAAGCCAGCAGGTCAATGGTCAACCTACTCTTTTAAGTCAAAGTCCTTTATAAAGTTTTAGATTTAGACTATATTGTTGGACCTGGATGACCGAGACTTGCACATAATTTTCCAGAACATGAAACCGCTAGATTGATTTTTCGTATCCGAAACATTTTACGTACGTACAGAATTTCATCGAAATCGCGGGAGCCGCTTTTGAGATAGATATAATTAAGGGCTGATTTTTAATGGTTAGATAAAAGTTATCTGGGGAATAATTATGATGCTGTCGCGTCGGAATGCTTCTTTAAAACAGTGAAAGCAACAATTTTTTTCCTCAGACAACATTTATTGAAAAATTTTGCCCTTACAATAATATATTAACAGATCGCAGTAGGTTGACCTGCTGGCGACTTTACAATATTTCGTAGGTACGGGATTTTATGGCTGAAGTAGATATCTATTTGAATGAGTCATTGTAAGTAAATTGTCACTGTATTATGAATCACCTGTCCAGCAATAACGTCACAGTTTGGGTTGTGTCACAATATATAAAATAGGCAGGCACCTACTTTAACAAAATCATTTTAATAAATATGTTTTATTTACCTGTTGAGCGCTTATAGAACGCGCCATTAATTTCTGGAGATATTTTTCTTTTCGATGTTGCTCTCGAATACTACGTAAACGATCAAAATCATCTAGTTCAGGGTCTTCTCCGCCATCTGCTTCATCCACTATAATTACAAAAGTATAATTTTAGTGTTACGACACCCTCAGGCCTTAATTCAATTCTAAGCTAGCTAATTCATTGAGGCACCGCGACCTCGGCCAGAGCAGGAGAAGGAACAGCGGGGGTTTTTAGTCAGTAAGAGTCTGACACTCCCTTGTCATCAATGACTTCTCCCGCCCGGCCCTGAGCGGGAGAAGTCATTTGATGATTTTACCCTCACAAAAAAAAAAGCTA